TTCTTCTATTCCCTAGTCATTCTTAAGGAGAGTGGTATTCAGTTTCCATGTGTTTGCTCTTTTTCTGTTGATGCTTTACAGTATTTCAATGTTTTTAAATGTATTAAGGCTTTGCTTTATGGCCTACTATATGGTCTATCCTGGAGAATGTTCCATGTACACTGGAAAAGAATGTATCTTGTGCTGTTTTTGGGTGAAGTGCTCTGTAGATGTCTATAAAGTCAAGTTGATTGTATTGTTTAATTGTTCTGTGTCTTTGTGGAGTTTCTTTCCAGTTGTTCTCTCTGTGATTGAAAGTGGTGGATTAAAGTCTCCTACTGCCTCGGAAACCCAAGGAGGGGTCACTATGAGTCGGGTAGGACTCAACAGTATGTAACAACAACATAACGGCAACTATGACTGTGGAGTCATCTGTTTGTCTTTTTAATTTTGTTAAAGTCTGATTTATGTATTTTGGGCTCTTTCATTGGGTTCATACATATTTATTATGGTTATATCTTCTTGTTTGATTGACCCTTTAATCATGATATGGTATCCTCCTTCTTTGTCTCGTATAGTGGTTTCTGTCTTAAAGTCAGTTTTATCGGAAATTAATATTTCCACTCCTACCTACTCTTATAGTTGTCATTTGCTTGATATATCTTTTTTCAACCTTTGACTTTTAGTTTATTTTTACCTTTGTCTCTAAGGTGTGTCTCTTGTAGGCAGCATATTGATGGGTTATGTTTTCTTATCCAGCCTGCAACTCTCCATCTCTTGAGTGGTGCATTTAATCCATTGTCATTCAGTGTAATTATCGACAAAGATGAATTTGGTGCTGTCATTTTGTTGTGTAAATCGTGGTGTTCCTGATTTCTTTGTCCCATATAATTTTCCATGCTGAACTCATTATGTCTATGAATCATGTTATAATTCTCTTCATTGCTCTTGTTTTAGTATTTGCTAAATATTTGTGTTTGTCCTCTTTTTTATTGTGATGTGAAAGTTTATCAATTTTCTTTGAGATTACCCTGTGATTTATAATATTCTCCCTGAGTTTAGAACAACCCATTCTATCTTGCAACTCTCTTGACTTCCCCACCATTTAGAAGTTCTGTAACTGTACTATTTTTTCCCTCTTTTTCATTTATAGTTGTCCTCATTTCTAATTGATGTCTCTGGTTCCCTGCTTACCATCTTGTCGGCTTATTTTACTTTGAATACTTCCATAGCTGGGTTGGTTTCTGGGTTATGTCATTGAGTGTGTTAATGGTCAGTTGTTATTGTTCTCTGTCCAAAGGACTCCCTTTAGTATCTCTTATAAGGTTGATCTGGTTTTAGCAAATTCCCTTAATTTCTGCTTATCTGGAAATATCCCAATTTCATCATCATATTTGAGGGACAATTTTGCTGGGTATGTGATTCTTGGTTGGAAATTTTTCTTTTTCTTTTTTTTTTCTTTTTCTTTTTCAGGGTCCCATTGCCTTCTCACCTGCATGGTTTCTGCCAAGAAATCAGAGCTCAGTTTAATTGGTTGCCCTTTGTAGGTAACTTTTCCTTTTCCCCATAGTGCTTTTAAGATTCTTTCTTTGTCTTTGGTTTTGATGAATTTGATGATGATATGTCTGGGTGATTTTCCTTTGGGGTCTATCCTGTTTGGGGTTCATTGGTCTTCCTGATTGGATATATTTTCATCTTTCATCATACCAGGGAAGTTCTCTTCCAACAAATCTTGGACAATTTTCTCAGTAGTTACCTTTTCCTCTTTCTGTTCTGGAATTCCGATTACATGTAGGTTATTCCTTTTGATGGTATCCCACATGAATATTAGGCTTTCTTCATTTTGTTTTCATCTTTTTTTCTGATTGATCCCTTTCCAGGGAAGTATTCAGGATTTGTCTTTAATCTCATTCATTCTGTCTTCCATCGATTCGATTTTACTCCTTTGCCCTTTCTATGTGTCATCTATTTCTGAAAATTTAGTATTAATCTTCTGGATTTCTATCTCTAGATTTTGTATCATTTCTAATTTTTCATTTATTTTGTCATTTTGTTCTTATACTGTCTTTTGAAATTGTTTTAGGATTTTGTCTGTATTTTCCTTAATTTTGTCAGTGTTTTCCTTGATCTGTCTCTCAATCCTTTGAAGGTACCTAAATATAATTCTTTTGAATTCCTTGTCAGGGAGTTCCAATGCTGCTTCTTCCTCAAGGATGTGTTCTGGGCCTGTATCTTGGTCTCTTGTTTCTCCTGCTTTGTCTTGCTTCTTTGTGGGACTGTGATACTGGTGACTCTATGTTAGAGTGATTCA